ATAGAGAGAATAAAATTTCATTCGAAGAATTTATATGAAATACTACAGGAGAGAATAAAATTTTATTAGAATTTATTCGAAATGATACTCGGATAAAATTTTATTCGAAGAATTTCTTCGAAATACTACTCGAATACAATTTTATTCGAATAATTTATTCCAAATACTACCTGAAAAAGATGATTCTATTCAAAGAATTTATTCGAAATATCGTTCGAATCAGATTTTATTCGAAGAATTGATTCAAAATATTTTTCGAATAAAATGTTATTCAACATGCATATATCTCGGACAAGATTTTATTCGAAATGTTATTCGAATAATGCAGAACTCTGCAGTGCGGTGTTTCATCGAGCGAATTAGCCAGGCAAACTCTGGCAGACATTTCGCGTCGCAGCGGAGCTTGATCCTTTTCACTGACTAAACATCTACGGCGTATTCTACCTACTCTATGGTTCCTTATCGAGCCAGCTGCCGATAGCGGTAAAAGGCGTTGATAGATCGACGATGTCCAGGGCAACAAGTATTGAGAAATCTCACTCGGAGAGATATGGAAACGTAGAGAGAGCGGGAGAGCGAGAGAGAGAGAAAAAGAGAAAAACGAGTGGGAGAGAGCATGATAGATAGAGGGAGAGGGAGAGATGGCGAGAAAGAGAAGGAGTGAAAGAGAGACGAATTGTGAGTATGTGAAAACGTCTCTCAGTTTGAAAAAGACGGAGCACTCGGAGGTTTAGACCGCGCGTGGGAATAAGATTATCTTCGCGCGTAGCTGCCGGAGCCTCTATGATTTATGGCATTTGTTTCTCGCGAGTTCGAAGAGCGCGTTACCCCGTTGTTGTATACGCGAGAGACCGGCCGCTTCGTATTTGTAGCTGTGCAAGAATATTTTCTACGCCTGTGAAAAAGAGGACGAGACGGAGCCTGCTCGAACGATTTCGCTTCGTGGTATACTTGCCGCGGGGATATACGCGTCGAGGACAGTTTAACTCGATACTCGCATTAAATCGGTGAGAAGAGCGGTTCGCAGTTGACTCGAACACCAGACGATTCAATAATGTCCTCCTCGTGGCCTCTTCTAACGCGGTTTACTCGAATTTCGATTGGTTAGATAGACGAGTGGCTCAGGCTGGCTCAGACGGATATTTTCCCGAACTTGTTTCGCGGAGGCCAACTTGTCCATAATAATATTTTCTCGGGTTATTAACAGCAGATTTACGGCGTGCTCGAAGCAACTGTTTTCTGTTAGTTTATAAAAGCAACTATTTATTCTGTATTGTTATAATATTTGCCGCAAGTAACGCACGCGGTAAATTCTCCCTAATCGACGCTCAGGTTGTGCGTCAAAAATGGACAATTTGGGAAGAGGAGATACGATTATTCGAGCCTCGCGGCTCGTTTTCATAGTCACCGATTGTCAACAAATATGAAAACAAACCACAAGGCTTGAATAATCGTATCTCCTCTTCTCAAATTGTCCATTTTTGTGCACAATCTGTGCGTCAATTAGGGTGAATTTACCGCATGTGTTACTTGTGGCAAATATTACAACAATACTGATTAAAAATCAGAATAAATAGTTGCTTTTATAAACTAACAGGAAACAGTTGCTAAGTACACCAATTTACTGTGTATCGAATAAATATTTTATCTAGAGTTGGATAAAATAGTATTTTAAATGGCAAATAGTAAATGGATATTTTATTTTATGTCATACATGTATTTTTGAAAAGAAAATATTTGATTTGTTGGAAAACATGTACTTTTAAAAATAAAATAATTTGTTCGTTGTAACAAATTTTCTAAATAATATTTCGATTATTGTTTTATTTGAAGAACATTTAAATTATTTGTGCCATAGTTTGGAATATTTTATTTACTTAATTTAGCATCAACAAATAAAGTAATCAAGTGCCTACTTTTATGAATTTTTCGTACTCAAGGTCACGCGAAGGTCATAATATTACAGGTCGTTGGTTTCGTCTTGACCGTGAACTATATCGTATAGCGATAATAAAAATGTAACATTCCATTTAAAGAAACTTCGATGACCTTGAAATCTCAAGAAATATAGCCTCGAGTAAGTTTTTTTTGCCTATTATAATATTTGCCTGCAAAATGTCAAATTACCTGTCAAGTATCATAATACTTGCCTCTGAATCACCTAATGTTTTCCTCTGACATTTTTTTGCTATCACAAAAAACAAACGAGATATTTTAAATGCTGGAATTAGGTGAGACACCCTGTATATATAGTGTTCCACAAAGCTGTTCGTACACCTTTTAAAATGCAATAACTTTTTTAAAACTGGACTAAGCGACTTGAATTTTTGTAGATGATACAGGGACTAGTATACTAAACAATGAACAAAAAATGTCTTTTTTAAGTACTATTTTACTTGGAATGACAAAATAAAATAAAAAATTCTCGTTTTTAATTTTTTTTATTTGAGCCTATAACGAAAACTTGAAAGAGCTCTTCCTTAGATCTCGGTAACTTATATGCATGTTGAAAATTTTATCGAAATTGGTTGACGTTTTTACGAGTAACAACAAATAAGAGATGGAAAAAATCGCAGTTTTATCACGATTTTAACAAAAAACTGGAATAAACCTGCGATTTTTTAAATCTTTCAGCGCCGAAATCTACAAGAGGCACTTTTTAATCCTTTGCACTCGAGTGGTGACTCCGAGTCGCCACTAAAATTGTTATATCACGTTAATAATTTTTATAATTTTTATAATAATTATAATAATTATATATTAATTATTACAATTAATTCATATATCACCGAAGCTATAAAAAAATTTAATTTTAATACTAATATAATTAATAATAATTTGTATATTATCGAAGCTTAAATATAAAAAATCGTTAATGAGTCACAAGAATCAATCTCATATGCATGAATATGAATGCACTTTGTCGTATGAAATGGAAGTACTATAAGTCAGAAAAGTTGATTTAGATTTACGGTTAAAATAGCTTCGATTTAAGAGGATTAAATTTTTGTTGTCCGCTCAGATAAGAAAGTTAAAAAACGAGAGTTTCCTATTTTCTTTTATCATCCCAAGTAATATCAAAATGTAAAAAAAGGCACTTTAGTCATCGTCTCGTAGATTAGTCCCTCTATCACCTAAAAACCATTCAAGTCGCTCGGTCCAGTTTCAAAAAATGTATCGCGTTTCAAAAGGTATACGAACATTTTTGCCGCCCACTGTACATCCACTCTCGTACGCTGCTCCATCCATTTCTCGCTCGAATGTCTCTGCCACCGTTCCAAGAAGGGATCACGATCGAGCGGCGTTTCGTAACAGGTTCCTTTCCCTCGTGCCGACGACGGTTAGTTCAGTAGGCCACGCGAAAATTAGGATGCGTAAGCCGTCGCGGTGCCCGCTCGTAAACTCCCGGAACGAACCAGCTATTAGATTACAAGAGGCAGAGCCGGAGTTGCCTATTTGTCCTCCATCGATGGAGTTCGAACAATGCGATCTGTTCTTGCCGAAAGCCTTGTCCGTATAGGGCGTCGGTAATTGAATCCAAACACTCTGAGGGGCATAATCAGCCGGGCGTCGCGTCGCGTCGCGGCGCGTCCCGTCGCTGGTATCAGATCAATTCCGAATGTATCTGGAAATCGGGGTTACTATGTATGTAGAATGATGACGCAGCACCGCGAGAGCCACCTAGCGTGGGATAATCGATCGGCGGTGTTTTTCATTCGCGCGCGGTTTTAACGCGCGCTCCTCTCTCGTACGCATCGCCGCTCTATTTTCAACCGTTTCACCCCGCCGCCCCGCTCGCCGTCTCGCCGTCGTCGTTGGCCGTGCGGAAGAAACGCCGTAAACCGGGACAAAACGGTCGCCGGCTATTTCGCATTCGACGGTCGTCGCCTAATCTTCGAATTCGTCCAAGCTTCTGACGTCGACGTCGGCCGCATCCATTCGCGACACAACGTCGTCGTCTCGCGGAAGGGCCACCCGGGGACTTCCGGGGGGGTGTAAATCATTCCCGAAGCTCCCCGGAGAAATAGAAACACGCCGGGCAGGCTGATAGAAGACACAAAGGGGCGCCGATAAAGTCGAACAGGAATTAAATGGGGAAAAGAAGCATCGAAGGTGAGAGAGAGAGAGAGAGAGAGAGAGAGAGAGAGAGAGAGAAAGAGAAAAAGAGCGCATCTCGCACAGCGTTCGCAGCGCAGAGATGGTAGCGACGACGGCAGAAGCAAAGGCGGCGAGTCACCGATGAGGTCGGAGATTGTTCGCGGGGGCAAGAAGAACGGGAAGGAACGGGATGGAACGGGAAGGATGAGGACGAGACGGGACTGGCGTGTCGTGGCTGGCGTAGAAGAGGGAGATATCGGAGGGGAATCGAACGGAGAAGGACGAAGGACCTAGGGCGGCAGGGGGTGGAGGCAGCGTTACTGGATACGGTGGGCGAACATTGCGGTCCAGAGGGATGAAGGAGAGAGAACGAGCGCGCGCGCGCGAGAGAGAGAGACAGACAGAGAGCGAGAGGTTTACTGGCTGGCGAGGGGTAGCGACACTGCCGTGTCGGCCGAAGGGTGGCCGCGGGGAGACAGGGAGAGAAACGCGGCACGGCGGCGTTGGCGGCGTTTCGGGCGAGGGTGGGGGGTCGGATAGTTAGGCGGTGGGTGGATGATAGTCGGGGGTAGTGGGTCGGTCGGTCGGTTGGTTGGTTGGTTTGCGTGGAGGAACTGCGCGGCGGCAGTCGAGGCCGCGAGGCTCAGTGCTGGGGAGCGCAGCCTCGCGATGTGTCAGCTTCTCAGTGCTGTTCCACACGCTTACGGCTTCTTTCCTCGTTCGAACTTTTCCTTTCTCCGCGTGATTCACGAGTGACGGCATGCGTCCTTAGTTCGGCCCTCCGCGTTCTCCGCTTTCCGCTTAAATCCGAGCAAAGAGTCTCGCGCGTTTCCGTTCACGTTCGGTCTCGGTTCCGCGTTATCGGTATCGGTCGCAGGAGGAACGTCGGCGTCGCGTCGCGTCCCGTCGCGTCGCGTCGCGTCGCGGTCCGCGAGTGCGTCCGTCGCCGCGTGTGTGTTTGAGTGCGTGTGAAAGCGCGTCGCGTCGCGTCCTCCACCGCGAGGCGGTACAGTCGTCTGCCATGAGCGCGAGAATCGTGGCCGCGATGATGGCGCCGGCCAGCGTCGCCTTCGTCGCCGCGTTCCTCGCCGGAGCCACGCGGCCGTTGCTGTTCTAACCGGGCACGGTGGAGCGTTCCAGCAACCAGCACCACCAGCACCGTCGCCGCGTCGTCTGCCAGCCGATGGAAATGGATCCGTATGGGGTCGGTTGGCCGCCTCAAGGTCATGGTGCCGCCGCCAGTAGCGGGAACGGCGGCGGCGGCGGCGGCGGGAGCGACGGTGCGAACACGATCCCGCGATGCTGGAGCCGAGCGTGCAGGTCGACCGAGCCGTCGCCGATGCGGCCGATCGAGCACAGCATGCGGTCCACCGAGGCGATGCGCTCGATGGAGTCGATGAGATCGATGGACTCGGTGATCAAGCAGCCGTCGTCGGCGGACCCGATGCGGGCCGCCGTCGACCACCATCAGTCGAGCAGGTCGCTCGAGGCGATGACCAGGCCGATGGAGCAGCAGATACGCACCGAGCAGCCGCGATCGGTCCAGGTCGAGCATCCGCAGCCATCCTCGTCCTCGATGTCGCCCGGCCGCGGCCCGGTCGTCTGGCCCGACGTCGAGCACCACGCGATGCGCGCCATAGAGCACCCCTGCCGGCTCAAGGACCACGCCAGCTACATGCACGACCATCACTTCGGCCGCATGCACGACCACGGGTGCAGGTCCGTCGAGCACGTCTCCCGCATGCTCGAGCACCGTCTTCACGAGCAGCACCCCGGCCGACCGCCGATCGAGCAAACGCCGACCTGCCGATCCATGGAGCAGACGCCCTGCCGATCCATGGACCAGACCACCTGCCGGCCGATCGAGCATCCCCCGATGCGACCGCCGCCCTTAAACTACACCTGCCGACCGCTCGATCACGCTCCCGGAAGACCCATGCCGATGGACTGTGTCATCTACGGGCCGCACACCCATCCGCCGCCGAGGCTGCCCACCGAAAGCCCGTACCGCGTCAACTGTCCCGTGCACAGCCCCTTTCGTTACAGATTCCCGAACGGCGCTGCCACCGATTACCACTCGCACCAGGTAAGATCCCGGGTCGTTGCAGCCGCCTCGTCGATCGCGGCCCCGAGACATCGGCCAACGTTAATTCCTGATCCAAGGCGACGCAGAGTCACCGATCGATCGATCGACTCTGTGCCACGTCCAGGAACAACTTCGATACTACCCTCCGCGATAACTTCTTCGGGGTAACGGTTGCGAGAATTTGCGCACCGCCTGCCGAGACACGGTGCCCCAACTAGTTTAACTACTCCGTACTCCTGTTAATATCCGGACAGTCTTTGAAGCCACACGCTCTTCGTACTCCTACGATGTTGCTGGCCGAATACGTGACTGGTTTGTCGCACGGTATTACGTACCGATGCGACGCGCCTGTTCAGACATCGGCGGATGTCGTTGAATTGGCTCGCAGGGCTCTAATAAAGAAAGACCTCTAGGACTGCTGCTCGAACGACGCCCGCTTAGACAGATCTGGGGAGAAATAGATTTTTGAGATAGTAAGTGGACTATAAATATTTCGATCCGCCCGCGTGATCGAGAATTTGGCAAATAAACTATCTTTTGAAACGGTAGTTACATCTGGAAATAGCGTTTCAAATATATATAATCATGTGATATCGATACCCAAGTGTTTAGGTATTTAATTATGTAATTTTGCATTTAATTGTGTACTAGAATTTTGAAATATGTATAACTTTATGTTGATTACGTATCGAATTACGCGCTGCAAGTATTTAATTATGTAATATCCATATTTCAAAAGATAGTTTAATTGCCAAATTTTGTGTCGCATGAGAAGATGAAAATGTTGATCGTCTATTTAATATCTCGAAAATCTATTCTTACCCAGTCTTGATACCGAGATGAGAAGAGTCGGAATAGAAGAGCTTTTTGAACGAGAACGCGAGCTTAATAAGCACATGTCGACCGTATGCCATTTTAATCCTTAAGATATTAATGGCATTGGCGTACCAGCCTTCGAAGAATGTGCGGTCGAAGCAGAAACAGAATAATTTCGGAAGAATATATGTAATTATTATAACACGATGTTCACAAGGTACGACGCGTTCAGTCAGACCGCAGAGTATCGCGCTGGAATCTTGCGACACAATTTGATAAAAGTTTACTAAACCAACGTACCATGTCACGATTTGTCTCTGCTGACCCGATAAGCAGAATCTGCAGTCCTGCCAATGATAACTCGAACCGAAACTCGAACTTTCTGACGCTGGAATCTCTTCCTTTGTAAACCGAGTCTACAATCTATGGCCGAACTTTGTATATTAATTTCAGTTTTATCTTGTACGATGCGTGATTTGTATGGTTCAAAAACAATTTCGAATGATTCATACTCGATATTCGAATAATTTATATTCGATCAATATTCGAATAATTCATATTCGATATTCGAATCATTTATATTCGATCAATATTCGAATAATTCATATTCGATCTTCAAATCATTTATATTCGAATAAATAGACAAAATAATTTCGAACAGATAGAACAGATAGAACAATTTGTTCGAATAACGTCTAATCCTAATTCGAATAAGATGTTCGTCTAACTCGGAGCTCGTTCGGAAAATTACCTTCGATAAACATTGATTCGAAACGAGTCGAATAACGCCCCACTCCGTGGCACGCTGCGAGACCCGAAAGATCGAGATTTTCCAGTAACGTGAAACGCGAATTCTCCCGTTAAATGTACGATTCAGCGAAAGTATGCAAGGCGAGGGCTTTCCAGAAACTATTCTCGCAATAAAAATTGTTTTACTCATCCGGCGACGTCTGTCAAGCGCCGTTCCAGGAAAACGACGCGAATTTCTCGAGAATTCTTCGGGGCGAGTATTCTTTACGATTACCGGTTGAGGAAATCAGACACGATCAGTTTGGCCCCTGTACTACAAGGCAAACCTGCCCGCGTCCCGCAGAGAGCTGGGCGCACTAATACGTAATGGTTACGTAAGAAGAGGGCAGGATATGCAGCACGTCCTAAATAAGAAACGGGGGAGGGAAATAGAGGAGGCTTCGTTGCGCTTCATGCGGCCGCGACGTTAACTAGACAGTGGTATTTACACTCGGCGATTGTAAATTATTCGAGCCGACGTTTGTAAATTATTCGAGCCGACGATTGTAAATTTACTCGAGCCGGCGATTATAAATTTATTCGAGCCGGCGATTATACATTTATTTGAGACGGCGGTATCGTCTACGCTGTTATTTAAAGGGTGTCCGATTTTAATGTGTAAGTGAAAATAACTCGTTATTTATACGCTGTTTGAAAAATGTTTTACACAGAAATTAAATCGTTTCGAGGGCGCTCCAAGATGACGTAATACATTCTTTTGTGAGTGGACGTGTGTGCAAGATGAACGAGGGTTTTTCTTTTTTAAACGGAATAATGTAATTTCGAATACACGTACAATTTGCATAAAAATGGTAGAACATAAAGTATTTTGTTCGTGATTTATCGATTTATTTATTTCATACTACTTTTTCGAATTATTCGAGTTATTTGAATAAAGAATTGTTCGAATTNGCAGTCCTGCCAATGATAACTCGAACCGAAACTCGAACTTTCTGACGCTGGAATCTCTTCCTTTGTAAACCGAGTCTACAATCTATGGCCGAACTTTGTATATTAATTTCAGTTTTATCTTGTACGATGCGTGATTTGTATGGTTCAAAAACAATTTCGAATGATTCATACTCGATATTCGAATAATTTATATTCGATCAATATTCGAATAATTCATATTCGATATTCGAATCATTTATATTCGATCAATATTCGAATAATTCATATTCGATCAATATTCGAATAATTCATATTCGATCAATATTCGAATAATTCATATTCGATATTCGAATCATTTATATTCGATCAATATTCGAATAAATCATATTCGATAAATATTCGAATAATTCATATTCTATATTCGAATCATTTATATCCGATCAATATTCGAATAATTCATATTCGATATTCAAATCATTTATATTCGAATAAATAGACAAAATAATTTCGAACAGATAGAACAGATAGAACAATTTGTTCGAATAACGTCTAATCCTAATTCGAATAAGATGTTCGTCTAACTCGGAGCTCGTTCGGAAAATTACCTTCGATAAACATTGATTCGAAACGAGTCGAATAACGCCCCACTCCGTGGCACGCTGCGAGACCCGAAAGATCGAGATTTTCCAGTAACGTGAAACGCGAATTCTCCCGTTAAATGTACGATTCAGCGAAAGTATGCAAGGCGAGGGCTTTCCAGAAACTATTCTCGCAATAAAAATTGTTTTACTCATCCGGCGACGTCTGTCAAGCGCCGTTCCAGGAAAACGACGCGAATTTCTCGAGAATTCTTCGGGGCGAGTATTCTTTACGATTACCGGTTGAGGAAATCAGACACGATCAGTTTGGCCCCTGTACTACAAGGCAAACCTGCCCGCGTCCCGCAGAGAGCTGGGCGCACTAATACGTAATGGTTACGTAAGAAGAGGGCAGGATATGCAGCACGTCCTAAATAAGAAACGGGGGAGGGAAATAGAGGAGGCTTCGTTGCGCTTCATGCGGCCGCGACGTTAACTAGACAGTGGTATTTACACTCGGCGATTGTAAATTATTCGAGCCGACGTTTGTAAATTATTCGAGCCGACGATTGTAAATTTACTCGAGCCGGCGATTATAAATTTATTCGAGCCGGCGATTATACATTTATTTGAGACGGCGGTATCGTCTACGCTGTTATTTAAAGGGTGTCCGATTTTAATGTGTAAGTGAAAATAACTCGTTATTTATACGCTGTTTGAAAAATGTTTTACACAGAAATTAAATCGTTTCGAGGGCGCTCCAAGATGACGTAATACATTCTTTTGTGAGTGGACGTGTGTGCAAGATGAACGAGGGTTTTTCTTTTTTAAACGGAATAATGTAATTTCGAATACACGTACAATTTGCATAAAAATGGTAGAACATAAAGTATTTTGTTCGTGATTTATCGATTTATTTATTTCATACTACTTTTTCGAATTATTCGAGTTATTTGAATAAAGAATTGTTCGAATTATTCGAATGAAGAATTATTCAACTAAAGAATTCATTATTCGAATAACGGAATTATTCGGCTAAAGAATTGATTATTCGAACAAAATATTATTCGACTAAAGAACGAATTATTCGAGTAAAGAATTACTCGATCAAATAGAATAATTAATGAAGAATAAAGTATTTTTCGAATAAAATATTCAATTAAATCGAATTCCATCGAACAATTAGCCTGGATAAATATTTATTCGAAATAATAATAGAATTGAAATCTCTGTCTCGAAACCATATCATTTCCGTGGAAAACATTTTTCATATACTGTGTAATTAACGAGTTATTTTCATTTCTACATTAACATCGGACTCCCATCATAATTAAGCGACGTTCGTGTAGTATTATGACGGACGACTCATTAAAATTTGATGCATACCTTTCGAAATACGTTTTCATCGCGGCTGGTTAGAACACAGTCGATGCCGGGACGCGCGCGCGAGAGAGATTCCAAAGGCGGATGATTTTTAAAACGTGAGCGAAACGGAATTTTCCGGTTCCTCATTAATTTTCGAGTATTCGGGGATCAGTTTTCCACGCTATCTCCCGCGAAACTGGCTCCATTATTTAGAGCCGTCTCGGCGATCCGAAACCGTTCGCAGTGACACGGAGGATTTATTTAAAAATCGATTTCAACGACGATGAAAAAATTCTTCTGGAATACTTCTTGCGCCGCTTGTTCGCAGAATGATTTATTCGTTTTCGACGAGAACTATCGGCAAGCTGATCCAAATTGAATTTTTTTTCTAGACAAACTGTGTGACCTCTGACCGTGCGAATGTGCGTTTGTTGAAATCATCGTGTTTTAACATTCTGTATGATTTTATCGTGAACAAACTGTTTTACTACTATGTTTATACTTCACCGAACATGATTCTAGCATTTTTTGATAGTTATGTATTTTAAAAGTGTGATATGA